CGGTTTCGAAGGGATTTTCACAGCAGCTAATTTCATGTGTTTAAGACGTGAAAGCTTTACGGACAATCTTCCCTGGTGCCTTGGGGATTTAAGCTAATGCCGGGACGGGCGGCTGCTCTGGAGGAATGCAGCGGGCCCGCCGGGAACTATTTTTACAGGCGCTTCCCTTAGATGCCACTCAGCACCCGTCCTCACACTGACGAAGACCTTCCTGTCCCCATGGACCCATTCAGTCACGGTGGCCTTTGTTAAACATGCGCCACGTGCCCGACCCCGGTGACACAAGACGGATGACGCTTGTTGGACGAGGGGGAGCTCCTTCCCGACTGCTGGGGTCCTCACGGTCCCCGGTGCTCAGAATGCGGCGTCCCTGGCCGTGAAGGGAGCGGGAGGGAGAGGCACCAAGTCTGCCCCCCTCAGGTCGGGAGGTGCTGAGGCGTGATGGGCAGTCCCTCGGGCGGACAGCGGGACACACCTGGGGCAGGTGTGTGAGACGGGCTTCACGGGGTAAGACGGGGCGAGGGGAGCTCTCTGCAGGGCAAACTGAGAAGAGGCAGGAGCGCTTCCACAGGAGAACACTTTGTAGGAACACTACAGAGAGTTCAAGGTCACGAGCAAACCCGATGGGAGTCCTGCTCGGGGTTATGAAGGAGATACAAGAATTTTTTCCTTTCCACAAAACCCTAGTGCCGGGGCTCGGAATGGAACTGGAAAAGAGGCGGCGATCCAAGGAGACTGTGTCTCGGGGTCTGTGCTGTCGTCACAGCATGAGCCACCCTTACGGGGACACCATGAAGCTGTGAGGGCGACAGAGAGAAGGAAGCGGACGGCGGTTTCGCTGAACCCACAGGCAGCTGCTGCGCACCCTTGGCCGCGGGCCCCGTAGACGAGGCGGCGGGCGACGGAGCCCCTCTCCGACCGTGGCGTGTGCCCCGGGGCCGGGATGGACAGCAGTGTGGCTCCAGTCTTTTCACGTCCCTCACTAATTTTCCGGGAGATGCTCTCACGACCAAGCAGGTGACCACTGCGAGGTGAGACTACGCGGACCGACCGCACGACTGTGAGCTGCGAGAGGGCGCGTCTGCGCTGGCCCTGCCGCCACGGAGGAGCCTCTTCCACTTTCACTGGGCGTTTAACGTGTGGATTTGTTTTACGTGGCACCACGCGCGTGCTCCCGAGCTTCTGCTTCCGCTGAGCCACGTCTGCGGCCACTGTCACAGCCTTCGTGACTCCCGTGACGTGGTCGCGGGTTAGGACCACGTCGTCTCCATTCATGGCTGCGCGATAGGGTTCAGTGGGCCTGTTCCGTCGTAACCCCGTGGGAAGTGGTTTCTTAAAGGTCTTGTCTTTGTTATTTAATGGGTGAGACAGGCATGAACCGACACCTTAAGGCTGATGTGATTTGTGCGTCTTTGAACTTCAGGAAGAATAAATATCTTCCCACGTGTCATTTTTGAAGGAAGAATTGTCATGGGAGGCCGGGGAAGGGTCCTGCGAACGTGGGGACGTCCTGACTGTGCAAGGGACCTAACACAGCAGCTCCCGGTCCCCAGGCCCCGGAGCTCCTGCTCCGTCCGTCGAGGCAACCCGGACTGCATCTCCCCTGTTAACCGCGTCCAACACCCAGGCTCTGAGAAGCCAGAAAGGCCCAATGGCCGCGCCGCCCCTCCCTGCCCCGACTTAGTGCCGGAGTCCTTCTCCGAGGACAGACTCCCGGCCTTCGATTGGCCTCGAGCTGCCTGGTTGCACCCCGAGAGGGAGGTCGGCCACTTACTCCTGTGACTCAGTTTCCTCATCTGCCAAATAGGAACAAGGCTTTTTGTTTGTTTGTGTTATTATTATTATTTTTTACCAAGCTCTCAGGGACACTAGGAAAGCAACATTGAGTAAGTAATAATAAATCATATGTAAGATTTTAGACCCGACGGAAAGAGCCCTAAGATCTAAGGGTCTCTCTGTGTGTGGGTACACGTGCTATATTAGCCACCATTTATGGGGTGTGAACCCCATGATCAGGGAAAATCCTGACGTCACCTGTGCTGCAGATGGCGTGCTCGTGACACCTGGCATCTGGCCACTGCCCCAAAGCCATCGGAAAACAGGAAGTGCTAACTCTGTCCCAAGTGCCACCCATCACTGGGGGGGGGGGGTCCCAATCCATTACCACCTCATCACAGACGAATCCTGCGGTGAGTCTGGCTCTTACGATAATACAGTTACATCTGAAACAAGAGTTTTAGCTTTCTGTCCTCCTCAATCTTTTCTCTCATTTTTAACCCCTAAAATTAAAAGTTATACATTATTTTTAAGGGTGTTCGAGGGTTATATCTGTCCCCGTGATCTGTTTGCGCGGTCAGTGTCCTGAGATCACTCTTGTTGACTTGAAGAGATGAATTCAGTGGATTGAAAAAAAACATCGAGTGCACAGTTCTTAATTTTAGGCCACGGCACCTTGACTTGCTTCCTGGAGTTGAAATGATGAAAGAATTCCAGGGACTTGGTTTACGAATATGATTACTACTCCTGCCTAGAGCAGGTGATTGTAAATTGCAACGGCTGAGTTCAGGTGACCCCCTGGGGCATCGTTGCCTGGCACCTGGAGGGAGCTCAGCTACTCCTGGGTGGGTGGCTGCGTTGGCAGAGGCCACCTGGCTTCTTGGAGACTGAGGTCCCTCCAGCAGAGACACAGAAACGCTGATTCGCAGGACGCAGGCACCTGCCACCGTACCCAGGGACACCTCTATCTTGGGAAGTGCCCCCAAAATATCACAAATGTGGTTTCGGAAGCATGTAAGAAATGCCATGTCAGGAAGCAGCAGGGTGAGCCCATCTCTGGAATTTTTCTCTCTCACACGGAGCCCCTACTTTTGAGAAAAACTCCTGAAACGATGTAGCTCTCACTTCCACAGACACAGTCTGCAGAGGCCGGCCACATGTCTGGCAAATCCCAGACCCAAACCGGTCTCTTCAACCAATCGTTCCGAACTTAATATCCTGAAATATACTCCATAATGTTTTCCAAAGATGGAGTACAGACTCAGATTTTAAAGTAACTGCTACAATTCCAGCCAGCTAAAGAAAAAAGTGCAGAATAATCGAGTAAGTGTGTGTTGTGTGTATGTATATGTATATGTGTACACACACACGGAAACAGGATGGGGCAACAGTAGGCTCACAGTTGTGAGTATGTGAAACAGTTTATTCTCCTATTATTACTTACTAATTATATATTCCATATGTATATATATAAACCTACTTTTGCCCGACCCCGTATATATGAGGAAGAAAAAGGCAAAATGTAAAAAGTGTAGGCTATGTCTTAGAATTGTGGCCACTGAATGTCAAACTTTTTTTGCAGTTTTAAAGAAAATTGCATTTTTGCTATGCAGGTTCATTCAGTCGTTATTAGAGACAAACACGACGTCCCGAACCAACAGTTTGGTCTTTAAGTTTTAACAGCTTTACAGACGAGATTACGTCGGAGCCCTACCGTGAAGTGTACTGAGCAGCAGGTGGGAGCCGCCCGTGATTCTTGTATAAGCTGGTTTTCCGCTTAGAACTTGGTTTTAGTCTAAGAGTCACTTATGGGCACACAGACCACTGAGCTGAGGTTCCACATGAATAAAGGCACCGCGTCTGTGACGCGTCAGACTTGCAGCGGGGACACCGCCGTGGACGCCCAGGGGACGCTTGCGTTTGCTTCTCTGGCGCCCACCTGGCAGGTGCTGCTCCCCGGCTGGGACTCCGCTGCCTCCGCGGAGATTTCAAACAAGTGCCATGGACCATTTCACGGGTGTGAAGGGCGGGCGCGCAGCTGTTTTGAGGTGACGACACAGCGGAGTGCCACTTTATCGTCTATTGCGCCCTCACCCAAGGGCGTTTTTTTCATAACGTTCGGAGCGACACCAAGCAGCAGGCCAAGGGAGAGAGGACCATCGATGTGAGAGAGAAGCACTGATCGGGGCTTCCTGCACATGCCCTGGTGGGGTGTCGAACCCACAACCGAAGCCTCTGCCCAGACCAGGAATCAAACCAGGCCTTCTGGTCCCAGGGACGACGCCCAACCCGCCGAGCCACACCGCAAGGACCAGGGCTCCCTCTCAAAAGCATCACAAGAAGACTGACAACTCCACTCCAATGGCTTCTTTTCTCCGTCTCCTCCCTTCCTACACTCGTCCCCTCACGTCCTGCGTCCTGTTCACACAACACACATCTTCCCGGTGTTCTAAGTCTCACACGAGCATGTGAGGACACGCACGCCTGTACGACCGACCAACCTCGCCGCCGCCTTTCCCCTCCTGGTCTGGGGGTTTGGGGGAGAGAGCGGAGGAGCGCGGGAGCAGCAGGCGGCGCTGGGTGCGAAGGAGCGACGACAAGATCAGCGCCCGGGACACCTGGGCCGCGCGCGGGTCCTGCCCTCGTCCCCCAGCTTCCTCAGACGGCACCGGACTGACTTCACGGAGACAAGTCACAGAGAGCCCCCAGCTACGGGGACCGGCACACACACCGAGGGTGAGGCCGGCACACCTTCCTCGCACCGACGTCCTGGTGAACTCGGCACGTGGCCCAGCAGTGTCAGCGCCCCCAGCGCCCTGTGCAAACTGGAAAAGGCACGTGTCCCGATGTGCGCGAGCCGAGGGGCCTGGGGAGGCACCCGGGTGGCGCACGGCTGAACTCCAACACCCTCTTGTCACCCTGAGTGGCAGTGGAGTCAGGGCACAGTCTGAACAACTGGACGGGGGAGTCCTGTCTACACAGATCTTTCTTCTTAGTGTTTACGAGTCACAAGACAGAACTAAGCAGAACACCTGCCTGAGGCCACTGCCGAGCAGCACTGCATCAGAGAGACCATGCACGATTTTCTGTGGCAACCAGCAAATTCCCTTTGTCTGAAACCGGGTGAGCACGCACACCCCCCGATACGGGTTCCTCGCAACGCCGAGGAGCGGCCCGTGGAGGTCCCCCGCCTCGGGTACACCCCCAGGCAGCCGAGCACTCACCGCCGTCTTCCACGGTGAAGTGGAACGCGTCGCTGGTGGCGTTAGACCCTTCTCTTAAGACGTAGCATATCTTCATGTCGTCGATGTCCGCTGGAAAAGAACCGAAGGACGAGACGGCTGATTAGTCCCTGGGGTCCCCTGGTGACTCAGGGACTCCTACCGGCTGTTCCCACCCCCTTCTCTGGAGGGAAGCAGTGAGCTCTCCTGTCTCTAAGCCCCCAGGTTTCAGCTTTCCCTCCGAACCCCAGTGCCCCACACAGAGCTCAAGGATTAGGTTGTAGCTCTGGCTGGTGCGGCTCAGTGGATTGGGGACTAGCCTGCGACCCAAAGGGTCGCCAGTTGGATTCCCAGTGGGGGCACAGGCCAGGGTTGCAGGGCAGGTGCCCAGGAGGGGGCGCTGGAGAGGCAACCACACATGGCTGTTTCTCTCCCTTCTCTTTCTAAAAATAAATAATACAGTAATAAAGCTTTAAAAAAAGAATGAGGTTGTAATAACAGCGAGGCGCTCTGCCCTCCCCTTCTGCACAGCATTTGAGTGAGCGCGCCCCAGAGCAGCGGCTGCCTAAACACGGGGCCCACGACAGCTGGGCAGGGAGGTATTTTGGGGCTTGGAAGATTTCCTGGCACCAGAGGCGCCACACCCGAGGCGGCCCTGCAGGGCCGGCCCCAGCTCACTTTCTCACCCTGGGCAGTGCCGCCCGCTGATTTTAAGCAGCCCACATTTTGAAAGAGAAAAGACAATCGGAATTAAAAAAAAAACCCACATTGAAACAGCTATCATGAATCAATATTGGAGAGAACGGAGAATAAAACACATCTAATGAATGCTAAAACCTGTACTCATGGGGAGAAATGATTCTCCCTCAGAAATGCCCTTTCCAAAAAAACCCCAAAACAAAACAACACAAAAAAAACAACCTGTGGAGGAGGGGAAAAAAAAAAGAATGCCCTTTTTGCCCTGGCTGGCGTAGCTCAGTGGATTGAGCGCGGGCCTGCAAACCAGAGTATCGCGGTTCAATTCCCAGTCAGGGCACATGCCTGGGTTGCGGGCCAGTTCCCAGCAGGGGACACATGAGAGGCAACCATACATTGATATTCTCTCCCTCTCTTTCTCCTTCCCTTCCCCTCTCTCGAAAAATAAATAAATAAAATATTTAAAAAAAAAAGAATGCCCTTTTTGTGGCTTCCCATTTTAGTGATCAAATTCCCTGGCATAATTTGTTTTTATTGTTGGCTGACGCACAATTTAAAAAATGTAACTCATCCATTTTACCAGTCGTCTCCTTAATGACGGGCTCCCGACGGCAGAGGCAAACCCTGGTTCGGCCGCACTCGAAATAGACGGTTATTCGATCTGCGCCAAGCAGAGGGCAGCTGCTTCCCAGGCCCCGAAATCGAGATGGGAGCGAGAGCCGCTCGTGACACCGCACGGCGCCCTGCGGGGCGTCGCCCTTAGGGCTGCGGTAGGTGCCTGCTGTGACGAGTAAAGGCTTTACCTCCGAGGAACCGATTTCACCAGGAAGAGTCCCAAGTCACACAAGGGGTTAGAACCCACACATGGGTCCACAGAGGGGGAACGCGGGCTTTCCCTGGGCTCACACGGAGCCGAGAGAGGTGACGGGGTACAGCGGGACACCCGGGTGGGGACGGTGTGGTGCGTGGGGGACGCACCTGACCGCTGGCGGGGCTGCTCGGAGGGGAGGCGAGTTCACGCCACTTTGTCCTCCCTGCAGCTCCTTTCCAACCGAACTACAATTTCCCCATTTCTGCCCCGTGTCATTTTTAGCTTTCTGCACGGCTCCCTCTGCTAGAAGACCGAGGATTTCTGGGGTTTGTTTTCACCTTCCCACAGCCCCTCGCTCAGGGTGTGACACTCAGCAAAGGCTCCCGTGTTCCGGAACCTGAAGGAAAAGAGCCCAGAGGTGCAGAGGGCCCTGGTAGCATCACCACCTGCCTACGTGTGACGCTTCTAAGGGACGGGGCGTGAAGCCGCTGCACAGACGGCTCGCGGGAAGCGAGTGCCGTGCCCTGGTGCCTGATGCCCTGATGGGGCAGCCTGGGCGCCCCCTGGTCGCGTGGGGAAGGCCCCTTCCCAACATGGCCGCCCCTTCTTTAACTTTGTAAGAAAACCTAAACGCTCTATCACGAGGAAAAGGGGGAAAAACCGGTACACTCAGTCTCTAAATTAATGTGTTTTTTTTTTAAAAAAACTATGGTACTTGGGAGATAGTTTCATTGAAATAAATCACTACTTCAAAACTGACTTTTAAGAACATTTTTAAGCGAAGAGGCAATGGATGCGACTCTTTGACACCCAGTTGCTGATTCTCCCTCTGGGTTAGAGCAACAGAGACTCTCTTCATTTCCCTTCCAACTCTGTTACCAACGCACGGTCCCACACGGGGGCTCACAAACGCTCTGCCGAGGAGAGGCTTTGATCGTGCCTGCTGGTCTACAGGCGCCTCCCAAAGTAACACAAACACATTAGAAATTAAACACAGACGCGACCCGCTGCTGAGGGCACAGAAGTGTTAGGACACCGATCAGCCCAAATGTCGTCTTGTTTAAGTAAACATCTAACAGCAAGATCTTTTTTTCTAAATGTTCAACGTACATCAAAGATATTTCAGTGTAATCTACACACTGTTTCATTCCATGGGTTTAAAAAAACCAACCTAAGTCCATTAAGATGCCTGAAACCACACCCTGTTTCAGACCCAGAGGAAACTGCTGGAAGGTACATGCTGGCTTCTGGCCGAGAGGCGGGGGGTCGGCCTGTGGGGCGAGCCGCCAGCACCTAACACAGAGCAGCAGCTCACTTGGACCCTGCGCTTCGCGACACCCGTGTTTCTTAACACCTTGCTTATCTGAGAGCCCAACACCACCGCGGGGACGCGCGGGGGTCACACTCCATCTCCGCCCACAGAGGACAGATCCCTTTCCACCCCCAAGGTGGCGGGGTTTTCCTGGAAGCCGCCCCGAGCCCTTGGCAGTGCGAGCCCACTGCTCAGCGCCCTGGCTCCCACGCCAGCTCCCCGACTGGCTGCTCAGAGCCCCCCGGCCCTTCCTGGCTCAGGTGGGGTCCCCACACAAAAGAAGAGTCAGGTTAGGGAGACGCTTCAGCCACGAGAACGCAGGTGCAGGCAGGTGCCGAAGTGTCCGTGATTGTGATTGAAACAGGGCAGAGCAGTTTCGGGATCAAACTACTCCCTCCTTGTGCTGTTCATTTTACTAACGTTTCGGGTTTTCGGGTTCTTACAGGAGGCGGACTGCGGGGACAGACATACTGTCTTCTCACTGTCACGCCTTCCACCACGCCCTTGTCTGGGCTTTACCGCAGTAACAGGCTCGCACCCGTGATCTTTATGAACTTAGATAGGGGCTTACTTCTTATGACTTTGGACAGGTGTTTGCCCTGAAATATAAAAAATTATACACTCTGCAAAGTATAAACACGTCTTTTAATTTTAGTTACAAAGTTTCTACCAACTATCACAGTATTAGAACAATGCCCTAAAAAATGAAAGGAATGTAAACCTGGAGGGTCTCTTTGAATGCTACTTGATGGTAATAATAATAATCGGAACACTCGGAGTTTAGCGAGCACGCCCCTGCCTGCGGGGTTGAACCGCCTCACGGACAGTCTGCGGCGCACGGGGCAGGCCTCTCAGAGGGCAGGGGTGCAGCACACAGAGCCCGGCTGCAGGGCCCGGCTGCCGCCGCCAAAACCCACTGATGCTCTCACGAAGGCACCGCAGGGAGACCTGTGGCAGGAAAGGAGCGGTCCTCCCAGGAGAGAGAGTCCCTGGGTTCCCCCCTTCCCCTTTCTGCCCCTCCCCGTCCTGCGCTAGAATGCGAGGCTCTCCTTCCTGAAGTTCCCAGGGACAGCTTCCTGGGAGGAGACCCGGCCCACCGCCGGTCACACAGAAGAACGCGCCGTACCTTGTGTGAACCGCGAGACGCTGTGGTTGCCTTGGCCCAGGTGGAGGAGGTGGCCGTGCCGAGGGGCCTCCGTCACCACGAACCGCAGAGCAGCATGCGGGCTGTCCCTGTCCTCCGCTCTCAGGACTTTGTTTGTGACCACGAACCCCAAGTGGCCGGTGGCCAGAGTGCGGAGCGAAGAGGCCCCTTTGTTCACAGCGACTTGGGGGGCGCTGTTGTCCACAGCTAAGACCCGGATCTTCATGACCTGGGGCTTCCTCGTCTCAAATGCCGTGTCGGGGAAGACGTAGAAGTCCGCGTGGGAGCCGTCGGTCACCGTGAAGGAGAAGCTGTCCTCGCTCGACTCAGTGCCATCGTGCCTGTAGCTGAGCAAGTTCTCGTTCAGGTCCTGCTTGGTGAAGACCGCGGCGGGGCTGCTGCCGTTCAGGAGGAGCTGGCCGTGCAGGGGCATCTGCGTGACCGTGAACTTCAGCAGGCGGTCAGGCGTGTCTCTGTCTTCCACTGTGAGCTCGAAGGGGGTGATCAGCTTGTGCTCCCCTTCGCTGACGACCAGGTCGCGGAGGGTGACCACTGGCCTTTTGTTGTCCACGTCGCTGATGGAGATGCGGAAGGTCCGGAAGACTGGGTTGCGTCCGTCGGTGACCTGGAACTCGAAGCTGTCCGTCTTCACCTCGTCGTCGGCCGTGTGCACGTAGTAGATTTTGTTGCCCGCCAGCTGGAGCTGAGTGAAGGACGTGATGGGCGCCCCGGGGTGGTCTGTGCACCCCAAGAGGCCCCTCACGGGGGCCCTGGTGATGGTGAAGACCAGGTGTTCGTCGGGGCTGTTCAAGTCACTGGTGCTCAGGAGGTCTGTCGTCAGGGTGACCTTCCCGCCTTCTCTCAAGGACACGCCCTTACTGATGACATCAGGGAAGACGATGTCGATGCTCCCAATGGAGACGTAGAAGTAGCGGTCGATGAGGGCGTTGGTGCCGTCTGTCACGTCGAACTTGATCAGGTCCCGCACGCTCTCCCGCCCGGAGTGGACGTACTGAAGTAAGTTGCTGTCCACGTCCTCCTGGGTGAAGTTCATGCCCAGGGAGACGTTTTCAAAGGCCCCCGTTGGCTTTTGCCTCTGCAGTAGGCCGTGCTCCGGCCCGTAGCGGACAATGTAAACCAAGGACTTGTCTTCAGAATCCAAATCGGTCGCCATCAGTACTTTGTTGTTCACGGTTTTGGTCTCCCCAACTTCGATCTCCAGGCCACTGTTGATGGCCATTCGGGGGGTCTCGTCGTCCACGGGGATGACGGTGACCAGCACGGTCTTCTCCACGGAGTGCTGGCCGTCTGTGAGCCGAATCACGAAGCCGTCCTCCTGGGTCTCGGAGTCGTCGTGCTCGTAGATGATGCTGGAGCTCTCGAGGATCTGGTCCAGGGTGAAGCTCTGCACCTCCACCGTGCCGTCGGCCAGCTGGTGCAGGATGCGGCCGTGCGCCGGGGGCCGGGCGAGAGTGAAAGTCAGCTCCTCCCGAGGGACGTCCGCGTCGGCGGCGTTGAGGATGGGCGTGTCGACCACCAGGCTCCTGCCCTCCATCACCACGAACTCTCTGGTGAATAGCTCCGGCGGCTCGTCGTTGGCGGGGACGATCACCACGGGGAAGAAGTGTCTCTCTGAAAGGTGGACGCCATCCGAGCAGCGGAACGCAAACCTGTCCTCCACCGGCTCCACCCCCCGGTGGACACTCTGGACGTAGTTCACGTGGCCCTGCCTGACGTCTTTGAGGGTGAAGGCGCTCACGGCAATGCCCGCCCTCGACTTCTCCGAACCTGGGGCCGGGGAGATGTTCTCCACGTAGCCGGAGCTGGGCTGGGTGACAATCGTGCACAGGATGTCATCGTTCGGGGAGTCCCTGTCCTCGGCACTCAGGTGCCTTGAGGTGATGATGCTCTTGTCACCTTCCGTTACTATGAACTGTTCACCTACAGAAATTTCTGGGGCCTGGCTGTCAACAGGCAGGATGGTCACCCACACGGTGACTCTCTGGATGGAACTGCCACCGACTCTCCATCCTGGAGATGTGCCCGAGAGACTCAGGTTGAAAGAGTCCCCTTGGGGCAGCAGACCTATCTCGCCGCCCGTGTGGGCGTAGACAACGGAGCCCTCCAGGATGTCCCTTTGGGTGAACTGCTCTGCGGGAGCACCGCCGACCAGGACCTCGCCGTGCGAGGGCGGGTCCTCCAAGAGGAAGGTCAGCATCAGGTCCTCCACGCCCTCCCGGGTCCCCGTGATCACGCCGGCAGTGACTTCCGCGGCTCCGTTCTCTAACACGTCCAGGTAGGACCCCAGGGTGCCGGCGGGGAGGCTCGGCACCGGCACCTCGTCCTCCCCGGGCAGGACAGTCACCCTGAGGGTGACGGGCACCATGTGGTGTCTGTCGCTGACCTCCAGGGAGCAGCTGTCTGTCAGGGACCCGTCCCCACTGTGGTCGTAGGAAATCCGACCCTGTTGTATGTCCTCCAAGTGGAAAGTGGCCCCTGCCCGCAGGATCCGACCGGAGGCCCGCAGGTGGCCGTGTGTGGGCGCCTGCGTGACGGTGAACGTGATGTGGGCCGCGTCTGTGTCCACGTCGGTCACGTGCAGCTCGGAGGTGCTCAGGGTGTGGCGGCCGCCCCCCGGGGTGGTGAAGCCGGTGTTGAGGATCTCCGGCGGCTGGTTGTCCTCCGGCTGCAAGTACAGGGTGAAGGTGCCCGGGGCCACGTTGCCCGCCCGGTCCTCCACCTGGAACTGGAACTGCGCCACGCGGGCCGCCACCCCCAGCTCCTGCTCGGGAGGTCGGTAGGCGACTTTGTGGTGGTTGATCTGGGCCTGGGTGAAGTGGACCACCACGACCGCAGGGTTTTCTGTCAGGACCAAGGAGCCCAGCGGGGCCGGGGCGCGGTTTTCGTCTGTGTCCATCGGGGGCCGGGTCACCGTGTAGCGCAGCTCGCGGTCGTCGGTGTCCAGGTCCGTGTAGCGCAGCCACTTCCTCCTCAGCGGCGTGAGCTTGGACTCCTGCACCACCATCCGCAGGGGGCAGCCGCTGCCCAGCTCCGGGGGGAGGCGGTCCACGGGATGCACGCGGACCACAAACCTCTGCCGCCCGGACCGGTTGGGAGGGTCATGGGTGTCCTGCACCCGGAACTCGAACTGGTCCGTCACCGGCCCGGGGCTGTGGGGCCCCGTGTGCACGTAGAACAGCCTGCCCGCGGTGACGTCCTGCTGCTGCCACTCCGTCACGGTTCGCTCGTAGAACGCGCCCCGTTTCCGCCACGGGCTCCCGGCCAGCTGCTCCCCCTCACCGGGGGGATGAGCCCTGCGCAGAATCAGATGCCCCGCCTTGGGCGGCGACTCCAGCAGGAACAGCAGCAGGGTGTCATCGGAGTCCATGTCAGTGGCACTCAGAGCCAAGGGCGAGACCGGCGCCGTCTCGCCCTCCGCCAGCGTCAGCCCGGTGTTGGCGTTGAGGACGGGCGGCTGGTCGTCCACGGGCACCAAGGTGATGGGGAACAAGAACTGCACCTGGTGCCTGCGTCCCCCGTCCACCATGCGCAGCACCAGGTTGTCACTCAGGGAGCCGTCTTTGTCGTCGTGACGGTAGACCACCTGACCCGCCGCGAGCTCAGCTACCGTGAAGGTCTTGGGGGCAGAGCTGCGGCTGTCGCTGCCCAGAAGGATGAGGTGTCCGTGCCGGAGCCCAGCCACCACCTCCAGCTGCACGGCCTCCAGGTCGTCCTCATCGCTGATGACCAAATTCTGGGGGCCGCTGCCTGGGGGGCCGGTGAGGGACCGGGACTGGCCCTCATAGAGAACGAGGCCCGTGTTGCGGGTGACCACGGGTGCCAGCGTGTTCATGGGCTTCACCACCACCATGAAGGCGAAGGGGTCTGAGGCGGCTCCTTCTGGGTCCACCACCTCCAGCTCAAACTCGAAGACGCGCTCCTCGTGGGAGTCCTCGGAGGGCGGCTGGTACGCAATCTTCAGCAGGCGCAGGTCTCTCTGGGTGAAGGAGGAGAGGGGCAGGCTGCGGTCCTCGGTGCTCACCAGGCAGCCCTGGCCGGGCTGGAGCGCAGAGGTGAGGTTGAAGATCAGCAGGTCCGGGGGAGATTCCGCGTCCTCCGCCGCCAGCATGTCTGGAGTCAGCGCGGTCAGGACGAACTGGGCCACCTCCATCATCATCATGGCCACGAAGCTGGGCTTGGGCGCCGTGTTTTCGGCCCCTCCTCGGATTCTCACCAGCACCTGGAAGTGCTCTCGTTTCAAAGCAGGGGTGCCCTCGGGGGCGCCTCTCGAGCGCAGCTCCACCACCATGGGCACCCAGTCGCGGTTCGGGGAGCGACTGGGCGCCGTATGGCGGTAGCGCACACCTAGCTCCTGGAAAGCTCTGCAGTCCATCAGGAGGGGCTCCCCGGCGCCCCCCTCACCGGCCGGCCCTGCTCCAGCAGCTCCCCGTGACGGGTAGTTCAGCAGCTCCCCGTAGCGAGGCAGCGTCCCCAAGCCGGACAGGACGCCCACGCGACACTCCTCCGTTTCGGGCTGGTAGGCGAACTCCAGGCTCCGCGCGTCCAGGGCATTGCTGGTCCCCAGGAGCTCCTCCACGACTAGGGGCAAGTTCCGGGTCACCACCTCCAGCTGCGAGAAGACCACCTCCACCTCCAGCACCAGGGGAAGCACCGCCGTCCCTCCGCGCGCGTCGTAGCGCAGCTGCAGCGGGACGCGGTCTCGCGACGGGCTGCGCGCGCCCAGGTGAGAGTAGCTCACCTCTCGAGGGCCGAAGTCGCACGGGAAGCGCTTGGGATGCAGGCGGCCCGGCCGCTGGGCCAGAGCGTCGTTGTCCAGCACGGTCACCGCGCAGCGGTCCCCCGGCTGTACTTGCAGCACCAGGTCGTGCAGGGGGTCCAGCCAGACCTCTCGGCCGAAGGGCACCCGGAGCCCACGGTTCGCCATTACTATAGCCTCCTCGGCGGGGACCCCGGCGACCCCCGAGAGATCCGAGGACAGCGACTCCATGCCGGGGGCAGCGGGCTGTGCCGGGGCGCGGCTCACCAGTGACAGGAGCAGGGGCAGCAGCAGCAGCCCCCGGGGCGGCGCCAGAGGCGGCGGCACCGGCTGCAAACCCGTGGGGCCGACTCCCTGGCGCCCGCGGGAGGTGCCCCCGGGGGTCCCGGCGGCGTGCATGGTGCAGGTGTTGCAGCCCGGACAGGTAAGCCCGAGAGCGCGCGGTCACTCCGCGGGCAGGCGCAAGAGACCCCCTCCGGGAAGCTCCAGGACTGCGCGCGCTGCCTGCGGCGACTCGCTGCGGCCGAGGCTGGGAACGAAGGACCAGCCAGGGGCGCGGCCAGGCGGGACTGGACCTCGCCGGGAGGACGACGGGCCCTCCCGGCCTCGCGCGGCTCTGTGGCGCGAAGCGAGCCGCTGCACTGCTCGTCCCCAGGGCTCGGGACCGAGCTTGGGCTTTGAGGGAACCCCCCCCTTACTCGGGGGCAGCCAATCCTCGGTCCCCGGAGGAGGCCCCGATCCCCGGGTTGGACGGCGACTCCTGCCAATCAGCTGCTGCGGGGGGAGGCGGGGCCCGAGCGGGCGAGGCGGCCGGAGAAGATTCCTCCGCTGGTCCCGCGAGCGAGGGGCAGGGAGGCCGGGGGCAGCCCCCGCCCCGCCGCGCGCTCCCCCTGGGCTGCCCGCGGGGCTGGACCGCCTCTCCCGCTACAGCAACGCGCGACCGCCCACCTCAGCTCCCACCCCCGCACGCAGGGGAGTCCGGCGCAGGGGTGGTCGTTTCTGCCCGAAACTGGCAAGTCCGAGACCAAAGTTCTGCGCAAAGCCGCTGGGGCGCCAGTCGAAACCCGGAGCTTTTGGGGCGGGGCGGGGGGCGCGGGGGCGGGGCGCACTCTGAAGCGCATTTGCAGAAGAACTTAAAAGCCGAAGTAGATCGAGCCCCTCCCCCCCCCCCCCCCCCCGCTGCTGTCTCTCGGTGAATTACAATAGACACAGGCCTCGGGTCCGTGAGTTTTCCACGAGCCTCTCCTTTGCAAACGGAGTTCACAGCGGAGAAGAGAGAAAGGACGCTGAGAGCACGCGAGCGAGGCCGTGCGTCTGCGGGACTGGTTCGGGGAATGCGCAGCCCCGCGCCCTTCCAGGGCCAGCGCCACTGCAGCTGTCCCGAGCGGCGTCCCGGCCGTGCTCGCGGTGGTCACACCGCGTCCAACCCCACCCGGCGGCGTCGCGTTCCCCGCGCGCCCGGAGAACCGACAAACACCCCGAGGGCGGCCGCTGGCGGGAGTGGAAGTCGGAGCTCGAGCGCCTCCTGCCCCCCAGCGTCAGTCTGGCTTCGGACGGGTGTGGGCGTCCTTTAAAGGGGGGTTTTTTCTACTGACCGGCCCCCGCCCCTCCCAGACGCTCACGAGGAAGGCTCAGCCGCTGGTTCCTCGAGCAATCTGGCTCACTTGTGGGTGATGCTCTTTTCTCTCCAGAAGTAATGGCCAGGTGATGAAGTGGAGTAGAATGGAATAGGGCCACCCCGCCCTTCTCCCTCCTGAAATATCGTTTGGATTTGGGAAAGAACGGAGTGTAAGGAGCCGGTGGGCCCTTTTAAGTTTCCGTCTAAGCGGGAGGTGTGGGATTCTGCCCCAGGGAGCCCACGGGGCAGTGTCTGCCCCTGGGGTCAAGAGATGGAAAGTTCTGGAATTTTTCAGAGAGAGAGAGAGAGAGAGAGATTGATTTAAAATGAAGCACTCATCCAAAACAAACGGCATTAGGTTAATTGAATTAATACCGAGTTTATCCTCTATATTTTGTACTTGGGGGAAGCTTTTAACTCCCCTTGCCATCGATGGGTACATTCCACAATTTAGTACAAAATGGACATTTAGGATCATAGGAGGTTTTTCAACACCCAAGAAATCCTCCTTCACACTGTTCCCCAGTTTCCCACTGGCTTTCACATTTTTTTGGCATATTTTATAATTCATTACGCTTCCTTACCGTTGCGCACAGAATTCAAGTTGCAGTGCCAAGGGGAAAAATCTGATGGTGCCAAACAAGTAGGAAGATGCACCTGAGGCAGAACATCAATGTCAGAATATGGTTCGTTATATGCGGTACTTCAAACTCGCATTATGTGTTTTGATTGACAAGGGTCAGATGAAAGCTGAGAGGCCCTCTGCCAAGTCTGTCCCTCTGGCAGGCATGTGCCTGCCAGAGCCAGACCCACAGCCCCGCCCCTGCCACTTCCCAAGTGGCTTCAGGGCTTTCCTGTCCCCCTTTTCCGAAAGTCCAGCTCTGTTTGTCTTGAAAGCAGTGATAGATAAAGAGCCACATTCGAAGGGCGGTCGGATGTCTGAAGGGCAGAGTTCAGTATTTTGTTTCATGGTAAGATGAATACAGGCTCACATTTATTTTATTTTTTAAAGATTTTATTCATTTATTTTTGGAGAGGGGGAGAGAGGAAGAGAAACATCACGGTGTGGTTGCCTCTTGTGTGCCCCCTACTGGAGACCTGGCCTGCAGCCCAGGCATGTGCCCTGACCAGGAATAGAACTGGTGGCTGTTTAGGGGGTGGCACTCAACCCCCTGAGCCACACACATTTATTTTTAAGGAAGGCAATCAACTACTTTTTTTTTTTAAACTTTTATTGTCCTGCCTTGATTGAAGTTTAGAGTGATTCTTAGGACTTACTATTTTTTGGAGGAGGGAGGTAAATGTCTTAGTTATTTTTTAACTACATAGATGGTAACACATACTGTTATTTGCTTAAATATGTTGCATTATGATTATTAAAGAATAGTGAAGTGTTTAATTCTCATCTGATAGTATTATTGCTGATGATCTATCTTCTGGGTTAATTACTTCAGTGTTAAAAGTTTCTATCCTTAAATTAGCAAGGGAATACTATTTTACAGCTAACATTCTCAATTTCATAAGAGAAAAAATAAGCTGGGAAAACTTATACTTTTTATTAAGTCTCAGCTTAAATCTTCAGTCAGTTATTTTCTTAAGCCTTTTAATACTTCCTGAATGTACTCTGGGCAAAATATCCTTTAAAATAAATTCTTGAATTTGTTTAGCAAATGAAAAACACCCCAAAGCATCTCCTCCAGTCCACTTAAAGCTAAAACTTTTATTTATTTACTTTTGGGGGAAGTACTTTTTTTTTTTTTAAGATGTGGGGAGGGCAGGGCGGAGGAGAGAACGAGGCGGAGCCCTGGGCAGGGCTCGGGCCTAAGGTTCTGCGCCCGAGAATCTGTTTCCCAAACTACAGGAGGAACGTGATGAACTGGAGACGCTGAGTCAGGAAGTGGAAGGCAGGTCCGGCCCCTGCAGTCAGACCGGAGCAGAGGCGGCATCTGGTGAGATCTGACCTGGTTCAAGGTCACTCCGGAGCTCACTTCCATTTCTCGGGTGGTGAGTCTCCAGGGCAGATGGCCTCAGAGGCACCTTGAAAATGCTTACAGATGAACGATGGGGGCTTCCTACCCAACACCTTTGACAGTTCTCAACAGAACTTCATTCTCCGGAGGCTTCCAGACCACGCCTGCCTGTAAGTGCCAAACTAGCTGACCGAGAGCTGGGCTCCGGCCTGGGCTGGACTCCCACCAGCTCTGTGACTGGCGGCACCTCCCCGTCTCGCTGCCGCGGTCATCTTCTGTGCTCAGGGGGCGGCTGCGAGTCCCCCTTCGGCCCCGGCCCCCTTGGTTATGGTTCGGTGCCCAGCGTAGGGACGGCCAGGCGTTTTGCGGCCTCGAGCTCCCGGGCCAGAGGCAGCAGCCGTCCTTCTGTCGCCAGGAAGCCGGACTCTGCGCATAGGCCCCGCGCCTCCGAGGCTGGGTCAGAGCCCGTGCCCGGTGACCAGCGGCTCCTTTGAAAATACTCGGAACAGCGTTCGCATTCACCGGTATGGGCAGCTCACGCACAACACACTAAGAAACTGTTTTTGTTAACCAACAAGAGAATGAAAAACCTAGCGATGTGAAATAAAATTAAATTCACTGTGGGGGTACGTGAATTTTTGAGATGGATCTATTACCACAGGGTACACGGAGTGCGGGAAACATTTTCCAGACGAAGTTGTGTCCAGGTGGCACTGGCGGTGGAGAAGAGGGGAACCAAGGACTGGGAGCCGGTGGGTTCTTTAAAAAATGTTTGTTGGTTTGAGAGAGAGAGAGAAACACGGATACGAGAGAGAAATACACGCCTCGTCCGGGGAGGAATCCCCAAACCTAAGCAGCCCAGGTAGGCGCCCTGACCGGAGATCGAACTCCATGCTCTGGGCACTGGGGCAGCGCTGCCCCCCAGGAGCCGCCCCCCAGGGCAGCGGTTTTGAGGCTCCTTTCCTCACTTGCTTGGAGCTGGGGCAAGTCACTGTCTGCATCTCCAAAAATGTGACCGGGGAAGGGGAGGACAGGTGCAAATATTGCCCGTGCCACCCTCGTGAAGTTATGGAGAAGGTGAGATAAGATGTGTGTGTGCACATACATTCGTACCTGTGAGTGTGTACACACACTCAGAGTGTAATGCTTATACAGTGCTGGCGGCAGCGCCCGCATTTCGAAGGCGGGGAAACGGGATCCGGGAGTCGGAGACCCGCGCGCGGAGCTGGAGAGGAAAGGGACTGCAGGTCGGACCACAGGCAGCGCCTGCGTCCCACCTGCGGCTCCCACCTGGGGGTGAGGACGGCGACGTTTCCGCCCGCCCCGCAGGCTCTGTTCACCTGCCGGCCTCGGGTCGCGCTCTGCACCCGGAGTCCCCGCCCCAGGCCCTTCGGCTGGCGCTTCTCTCAGGTGACCACGGTCTCTGGATGGTCCCTAGGGGTGTCCTGCTACCTCCACAGAGATCTTCACGAGCCCTCCCACCGTGACGCTGCACCCCATGTCCGTCCTTTCCCAAGGAGTTTCCCTGGAAGCCACTGGGCCAGGCCTCCCAGCAGCTTTGCAGGGTGGCCGGGTGCCTCAGTCGGTCTCCTCGCAGTCAACCCGAGGACCTGACTTGGGCTGAATTAGAACGAAAAGGAAATGCGAAGATGTAGTAGACCTCCCCTGAATTCTGGGAAGCTGGCTCTAGAAGGTTCCAGAACGTGAGCATGGGCGCTGAGCTCCCCTTGGTGATGGCCTGGGGGAAGGGCCACCCCCCCAGCTGTGGCCAGTGCGGCCGCCCTGCCACCGGGACCTGAGTGTCGCTGCAGCTGCTCCGACCTTCTCCCTGCCCCTGTGAACTCGAAGGCCCAAATGTACCCAAGCTGAAGTCACAGGCCCACCCGTTGGCTGCCCCGGGCCCAGGGAAGGACGCGTCTGGCCTTCTTGGCCGCCCGGTGTGGAGGGACCAGCTCACCTCCAGGGCTCAGGCCGCGGCGCGGCTCCTGTCCCGGAATGAGGGCGAGTCACAGTGGCTCCACCTTATATCCGGGGGGACCGACACACAGCAGCGTCCAGGGATTTTCCCAAGTTCCTGAAATTACTGACAAAACCGGAATTAAGTACATTAGATGAAATGAAGTTAAATCCAGTGAACTAAAAATCAAGGACTGCCGTTTTCTCTCTCCTTTCCATTCTGACGTGTTATTTTTTTCCCTTTAAGGATATTCGGCAGGCCCTTCCGACTGCTTCTTCTGTGGGGTGGCTGAGCACTGTGGTCGGAGTGGTGGCGACGGCCGTGCCTTCTGGCGGCTTCAATGATGGGAACCACGGAGTGCACACTCCTGGGGACCTGCTGGGGCCACACAGACCCTTCCGACTGAGGAAAGAGAAAACCGGGAGGAGGTGGCAGCGGCCAGGGGTCCCTGTGGCTGCAGAGGGCGGGGCCGAGCCCCAGGACCTCAGCGGGGCCTGGCGTCCAGCACAAAAGCCGGCACTTGACTCCTCTGAAAACAGTTTTCCCAAATATTTGGCCACGTTAGAATCTGGTTCTAAAGCCCGTGATCCTGGGCGTTAATCGCTGTGGGGTTTCCACCTGTAAGTCTTCAAACAAAACTCAGGATGAAGTATAATTTAAACACGGCTTGAACAAGAGACCACCACTCGGCTGAGCCCAGAAAACCTAAACAACGCACAAGGGAAAAAGTTCTTCTCTTGCACCCTAATTAAAAAAAATAAATTATGTGATGACTTCTGCCAGCTTTGCACAGCAACCCTATTTTTTGGCTTTTATTAATAGGCCTCTATCAAGGTACCTATTATGGTGTCTTTGGGGTGTACGATGAGATTTAACAGAAGCCCTTTCTCTTAATTATGTAGCTAAATGAATATCTTTGGCACATTCACACTATTCTTCCTACTATCTCAAGATTCCTGCGTGTTGATATTTGTCTGGCTGTGTATTTGAACACAGCCTTGCAGTGTGGGTGGATGTTTTCTGTAAAAATCTGCTGAGTCAGGTGAGCCTTAACTCAGAAAAAAAAACCATGGTTTACTTTCCATTACCTGCAGTCAACCGTGGTCTGAAAATGTGAAATGGAAAATTCCAGACACAAACAATGCGTCAGTGTTAGGCCGAGTGCTCTTTGGAATAGCACGAGGAAATCTCGCTCTGTTCCTCTCCGTCCTGCCTGGGGCGTGAATCCTCCCTTTGTTGGGAGAGAGTGTGGCAAGCGTGCACGCCACACTCAACACACCTTCCATTACAGCACAGTGTTAACACGGTTCTATGTTAATATTGGTTGTTGTTAATCTCCTACTGTGTGTGCCTAATGCCTAATTCATAAATTAAACTTTATCATAGAAATGTAGGATTAGCAACAAAATGCAGTATATACTACGGGGTGTTTACTGTGGGCAGATCCAGGCTGAGAAGCCGGCTCCCACCTTGTATACGGGGTGCTGTTGGTGCCTCGCGTGGGTCCCCAAGGTGCACCTATAACCACGCAGGTCCTTTCCCTTCCTGAGAGTTACCTGCAGCCAAAGAGGAACCACCTTCACAAGACAGGCTAAGACTCCCCTCCACCCAACCACCTTCAGGCCACGGCCAACGCCAAGGTCGGTCCACTTGCCTCAAGGCTGACTAACTCTGTCCAGTCATTCACGCTGCAGAGCTTTCCTGAGGAACCGCACGGAAGCTGCACTGCAGCGGAGACCACGTTCTTGAGTATTTTCCCTGCACTGTTCTGCTTCAGTCACGTCTAATCTCTCGAGAGCCCACCCTTAACGCGTCACCTGACCGGGAGTCGCTATCTCGGCCCCACTCCCAAGGAGCCCAACTCAACCCCCTGGGACCGAGACAAAGTGAGAGGTTGACACACAGGCTGCAACCTCTCCAGCGGCTTGGAGGCAACTTGTCAACGGGCATTTCTCCTGCTCCCACCTGGGGACAGGTCAGAATTAGATCACCTGTGCACTGAGACATCATTGTCTCTGAATCCTGTCCTCTCTCACGGACCATTCTCTTCCTCCATGGAACCAGAAAAGGACCCCACTAAGTTTGCCTTCAGGTGCCTCTGGGAATCTCCAGCATCGCGCATGTACTCACAACCTCTGGGTGAGGCCTTGTTTCACCACCTGTGCCACTGGTGTCCCCTGGGAGACCTCGCTGTTGGTGACAATACGGTCCCGCTTTGAACTACCCACCCACCCATCCATCCATCTACTCACCCGCCCACCCACTCACCCGCCCGCCCCTGCACACCTCCCCATATTCACTCAGCAAATCCCACGCGCACATTTTCTGACCAGGCGGGGGAACTGCACTGTGACAAACGCACATTCGGGCTTTGTCCCCGTGAACTGCATTGCCCAGTGGCGAGTACTAATAAGAAAGCAGACCGTGGCAACACAGACGGTCAAAGAACAGTGAGATGACCACTCGATATGAGAAACGACACCAGACATGGGTGTGCTGTTCGCTGTGACGGGGAGACCTGAGCTGCTCGGGCACAGTCTCTCCGCACAGGGCGGGCGGTGGTTCTCGCGTGTGGCTTAGGGAGGGAGTGCAGTTCGGGGGGGCGGCGATTTTCGGGTGTGCGGATGGGCGGCGGGTGTTCAGGTGGGACTGCTGTGGACGCGTCGGCACTCGGAGGTGAGCGTGGGCCCTGTGTCTGTTCGCGATTGCCTGACTCCCGACTGGTGCGGAGCTGGGACCGACTGGTCGGGTTGGCAAGACGAGTTGACGGAGGTGAGCTGTTACTGGTTAAAACAATTTTAAAGTTTTGGTGGCTACATACTGCCATGGCTGTAGAACAATCAGTTTTTTCCTTAAAATACAGGACTTTAAAAAAAAATCGAGTGACTCCCACGCCACGGTGGAACACAGGAACATCCCGTGGTCCCCCTGGTTGGGATTTGTGGGTTCCGGAAGACTTTGAACAGGGAGCAGCATGTAGAACGTAGAACTGGGGGGAGGCAGGAGCGAGCCCCAAGGGGCGCACAAGTGTTCGAGCTACGCTCCCAACTTCCCTGTGCTTCAGTCTCTGGGTTTAGTCCCTTTTAAGGCTTGTTTCAAATATTTATATACCACAGATGGCAATAAATCGCCTTTCCCAATTTTTTTCTTTGGCTATTTAGAGTTTTCTCTATACACCTATCGAGACATTTTTAGGGGACTGACGTTTAAATGTGTAAGAATTAATATGCCATTTTTAATAAATACTTTCCAGGTTTTGGGTCTCCCCTTGCATATGTGAGAGAAGAGGACCTGAGAGCACATCAGATGCGGAGCTTGGACCCAAACGACAGCTGCAACGAGGGGGAGGGGCCAGCGGTCCGTGGGTGTGTCAGCGAGACTGTCGCATCTTAACAAGCGGGGGCCCAGTGGGGGCTCCCGGGAGCCTGGGGGGTGACCCTCGGGGACAGGAGTTACTGTTCATAGAATTCTACCTCACCCCGTTACCTAAAACAGTGGCAGTGCAACCCACAGTTTGGCGTTTCTCCCTCTTTTTTTTCAGCTAATGCTTTTCTTGTATTTCTAAACAAAATAATTTTAAAATAATTTGAATGAGACTTGTGTGGGCCCCGGTATTATTTTATTTGACCCGTTTTTGTGCAGGATTTGGCCTGGTGGATGTTTTTCGAGTCCTTCCCCGGGAAATGCACAGCGTTGCACACAGGGTGCTTACAGTTTGAGGGGGTGCACGGCTTCGCATTTCCCACCCCCGAGTTCTCTCACGGAGAGTTCACGGGCCTTGTGTTTGGACTCCTGCTCCGTAGAGACGGAGGGAGGAGCACAGAGGCCTGAGGACAGGATTTCAGCTTCGGATCAACACGGAGCAGAGCCTGGACACAGGACTGAGGGGGGGGCCAGGGGTAGGACTGCTTCCGATTTAACGCCTCTGCCAAACTTTACGGGTCCTGCCACATTGTCCCAATTGTCTCTGATGCTCTTTCCTTCCTTCCCTTTTCAAAGAATTTTAAACTTGAAACCGTTCGTGTAAGGCTGGCTGCCGTCAGAAAGCCCCTCCAGGACAACCTGTGGCTCCCTCTCTGAGTGCACTGGGCGTGGTCCGTCTGCCCTGCTGCCCAGCGCCAGTGTGGCTGGTGCAGATGCTGACATGTAAATAAAGATAGAAAAGCGTGTGTGGAGAGAGGGTGAGCTTCCTCAGCAGGCGGTGTGTTTGCGGCCTTGCGTTGCCCGGCTGGGGGTACTCGGGGTCCTCACTGACTCACCCCGAGACTGTGGGGTTTGCCACCTTTTTCTTAACACCACCTGGCGGCTGACACCATCTCTCCGTCCCTGTCGAGGGTTTGGAGGGTCTAAGATTTCTGGTGCTACTGCGGGCCAAATACCACTACACATACTTGACATAGTCTGCCCTCAGGCACGTTTTATTATGCAAACATCAAAACACACACGGGCAAGTCTGAGCGTGTGGGGCACGGTGGCTTCCCGCCCCGGCGTGTCTCTCTCCACCTTGCAGACCGTTGGAAAAGCAGACTCGCGTCTCCAGATGCAGACAAAAGGCAGATGTTACGCACCCGTGAGGGCGTGTTTGCTGCTTAACTGGGAGCTTGCAGCCCGTCAGCTCAGGTTGCAGAATCGAGCCTCGGCTCCAGGCACCCATCTTGTACTGCGGCATCCAGTTGCTCAGCTGTGCTGGGCTCTGAGCTGATGCTGTGCAGTTAAAGTAAAACCAAACCGAACGAACAAGGCAGGGTGGACGGGATCTGCCCTGGAGACCTTCCGGCTGAGCATGAGCAGAATGGCAAACGGGGACTGCGGACTTGTCAGTGCGGGGAAAGAAACACGAGCTGTCCCCAGCAGCGACAGGTTTATGATTTTACTAAAAATTCTCCCATGTCTGGAGTGGGCATGCGGAGACCTCTAGAGATTTAATGACAGATTCCATAATTGGAACACAGAGGAGAAGCGTTTTTTGCACGTGGGCTTCCTTGAGTGATCAATACAGACAGGAAGGCGCTGGCTGCAGTTTCGGGGACACTGGCGGCCGGAGGGGGTGCACAGAGGGACGCGGTGAGGGCGTTTCAGGGGAGAAACAGCGAGTGAGTTGAATAAGGGAAGGGTCGTAAGGACAGAAAGATTTCAAGAAAAGGCATTTATTCAGGTAAAAGCACTGGAGAGAAGTGGGGTGCCTGGATGACCATGTAATTTAAAGAACTGAGAGAAGCCAGCAATTTCTCACCTTTTACTTCTGGTTTGGGGGGACCTGCAGAAATCATTTCACACGTGGGGGGACAGGGACATGAAAATGAAGTGGGGACGGAGAGGGTAGGCACCCCGTTTCCAGAACTCTGCTCAGGCTTCTGGTCCAAACCGGTGGCGTGGAACCCCCTGAACTGACCTCCTCCCACAAACACGTCAGATTTACTCCCTCAGCCGAAGCAACTCCTGCTGACGAAGAGCTGAGAGCTGATGACGGACAAGAGAAAGGCCACATAGAAGCAGAGGGGAGAGACACAGACGCGGCGCCATAGGGTCCCCACCCTGTGTGCTGGCCTACAGTGCGGAGGGCTCTCTGAAGGGTCCCCCCCTGAAGCACGACAAAACTGCAGTGATTTAGAGGGTACCCGGCTCTGTGGGATGCACCACTGGTGTCTTAACAGAAACCGTGCTGGAGCCGTGGGCAGACTGCTTTGGGTGGCGGGACATTCTCATGACGTTAGTTCTACCCACGCACACGGTGCGTGCTTCCATTCATTTGCGTCTTCTTCACTTTCTTCTCCAGTTCTGA